GTATCTTTTTTTTTTTTTACCATCTAGTCTGTCATGCTTGGAGGAGACTTTGAACCCTGGAAATTAGCCCTGAATATATGACTAAAGAGCTAGTTTATTGTGTTAATGCTTATGAAGAAGCTTACTTCTGCAAGTTTCAGCTTTTTCTACACTTTCAGCTATTATTTAGCTGTTTTATGCTAATTTTAGCTTTTTGGCTAATTCCACTACTCTAATTTTTTTTTGCACTGATTTTAACTTTTCTCAGCCTAATTCAGCAAAAATGTGCTCTGTCCATTTCCTTGCAGTAATTTAAGCCTTTTTTTAGAAAATTTTGGCTACTTTTCAGCTGTTTTTTTTTTTGTTGTTGCTAATTTCAGCTTTTTTCAGATAATATCCACTTTTTAGTGCTCATTTCTGCTTCTTTCAATCTAATTGGGTAAACAAGTTTTTTTTTTTTTTTTTTGCTTTCTTCTGCTAACTTAAGCTTGTTCTAAATTTTCAGAAACTTTTTTTTTGGCATTTTAGCATTTTTCAGCTAATTTAAGCTGTTTTCAGATAAATTCAAGTTAGTTTTGGTCAGTTCTGCCACTTTGAGCCCAATTAACTTCTTTCTGCTAATTTTAGCTCCTTTTAGCTTTTTCTGCTAGTTTGAGTTTTTTCCTGCTATTTTAACTACGTTTAGCTGTTTTGTGCTAAATTTATCTTTTTAAACTAATATCCACTTTTTAAGCTCATTTCAGCTCCTTCCACCTCCTCCTGGTAGTTTGAGCGTCTATCTGCTTTTCTGCTTTTTTTTTGTTTTTTTTGTTGCTAATTTCAGCTTTTTAAGCTAATCTCATTTTTGTGCTCATTTTTGCTTATTAAAATCTAATTTAGTGTAGACCGCAGAATCCTGGCCTGATGTTGATCATCATCAGGCCAGGATTCTGCGGTCTACACTCATCTCCAGGCCAGCAGTCTTTCTTTCAAGGATGAAGATGTGCACATCCTGGACAGAGAGGAACGATGGTTTGAGTGAGGAGTAAAGGAGGCCATCTTTGTGAAAAGAAATCGTCCATCATTAAACAGGGGTGGAGGCCTCCGGGTTCAACTGTCCCCCTCTTACAATGCTGTGATTGCTAGTATCATTCAGCCCTCTGTGAACAGTAAACAGCCATCAGTGTGCTAATGACCCATTGTTAGGCTGATGGTCCTTCTTGAGCATGTGATCAGCTGGTTTTGGTTGTCAGCAGCAAACTGGTTGATCCACTCTGAGAAGGTGCTATTTAAGAGACTGAGCTGAAAACAGCACCTCAGACTGAGGAAGTCTCTCGGATGAGAGACGAAACGTTTCTAGATTTTTTTTGCTTTGTTTTGTTTTTGTTTTTTTGAATGTCCAGAGGACCAGATTGAACTTTTTTTGGATGCAATTTCTCTAGTTCACTTTATTTTAAGAGTGTGAAACAGAAATGCTTTTTTGCAAAATAGAACATTTTCTGAGCACTTCATTCTGGACACCTACATCCATGTAGCTATGCCATTTGGCACTGTGCACATATAAATCAATCATGGCAAATATTTTTGACAAACTGTCATTCTTTTTTTGGCCAACAGACTAACTGCTTTGACGGCACCACCGCCAGCAGCTTTAAAAGACCACCCAAGCCATTAATCATCACGTCTCATTATTGCTACATAGAGAATCCTTATAAACAAAAAAATAAAGACGTTCTGCAAGTCCAGAATACTTGGAATATTTCTGTTAGTTGACTGAACAACCCAAACTAGTTTCTTACAACCATAAGCACATATTTTACCCCAACTAGTCACAGGTCACAGACTGAATATGTGTTCCCCTTTCAGGATTTGGACAAGCAAGATTTTTTAAAAAGGGCTGGAATTTGTAAAGGCAAACAAAAGATTATTTGTAATTCCTTTTTTGGACAGATGAAAAGAAATATAGTATATAATCATAAGCATGTTAGAATTATGTTGATACTAATCCCTGTGCTAATCCTAACCTTATGCTATCCCATTTATTGTAGCTTTTTTCCTCAAAACTTAAAAGTAAAGACACACTGAAGGGCAAAGTTATCAACACATATACAAATATTAGCTGTAGTTGCAAGAGAGTTACTTACCATGAGCTTAAATTAGGACCACTAGGGAAGCAATCATTCTTTTCAGGTGAGCTATGTGAGACACAGAATACAAGGTATTTTGGAAAGGAGGCAAGTTAAAATGTAGAAAATGGATTGAATTAAATAATTTTGCTAAACATGCTATTTGTTTCCTAAAAAGAGGTTTAGGCACCAGGTCTCTGATGAGTCTCCGTGTTGAAAAACCTTTGGAGCTTTAGAGGATTTAATTGTATTTACATTGTAGTTTTATAATGGCAAATTATCAGCTTTATTAAAATAATAAAAAAAAGGCATCAATAAGTAATAATTCCTGTTACCACTCACTTTTGGTAACAATGTGTTTGTGATTCCATGGATTAATTCTCATGACCACAGCAACAGTTCAGCTGACAGCAGAAATAAAAGAACCATCTCTCCCTCTCTTGGTTATCTTCCTCGTTAGCTTATCTCTATTAGAGATCAGTATCTTCATTTGATGCTTTTTCTCTCTTTTTTAAAAACTTTGCCCTAGTCTGTGATTTTGAACTCCGACTCGAGCTTTTAAATGAAACATTTTATGCCCATTTTTCACAAGTTGAGACAATTTCTGGAGGTCTTAATTAAAGGTCTGAGACATGCTTTAAGTGCAACATCATTCTGGTACCCAAGGCCTTTCACAAATGTTGCCTTTGAGACGTCCTTTTAAAGTTGATCTAAGGAGGAGGAGTGAGACAACTGACTCATCCTTCTTTCTCTTTTGCAGTGTTTTATGGAGATGATTGAATAGCGTGCTGTAACTTTCACTCTTTTAAAAGAGGCCTTGGTTTTCCATCTAACGGCTGCCAACAACACACATAACAAACCGAGTGCAGACCAACACATTCAAACTGTTGGAAAAATGTTTTTATCATTTCCCTTTTCTGCAGTTCCAACATAGATAGCTGGGATTGATCCATCTTTCAGACCCATTCTAGCTACATATAGTTTATCTGAGCCCAGGTTTAAAAACACTGCATTACTGATCCAAACAATGAGTAAACAAACCAGGCCAGGTACTAAACCAGTTCCTCTCACATTTGATGTTTTCTGTCAGATCTCAACCAACTCTGAGCTTCAAACCCTGTGGTTTCATTTTTCTTTTTGTGTTCTTAAATTTTTAGACTCTTAAGTCAGCAGCTTATTAAGGATAATTTTGAGAAAAAAACATCATTGTTGTTTGCTTCCATTCATAATGCAATCAAAGACAATATTATAAATTTTTTAAAAATTGGCAGCCCTTAAAGTATCGCCCACCGCTTTGCTTTTCAAAGTCATAAAGATTTTGTGCAGTGCACTAGTGTTCAGACTATGTCTCACTTCTTGGTCTGCTGCCTTCATACATCTCCTCCTACATGTCACTGCGTGAGTGCAGCTACAGCGTGCGCTCTCAGGACATTATTACCTGCAGTGTTCTCTCAGTGAGGACTGAACTTGGCAAAAGGGCCTTCTCCTACTCCACTCCTGTTTCCTGGAATATCTTGCAAAAAGATCTGAAGCTCTCAACCTTGACCTCTAAGTGGCTTCAAACATCTTTTAAGTTCTTGGGAAAAACCAGTGCAGGCATGTTCTTGTTTTTAGCTAGCAGTTTTTCTTTTGTTATATTTTCTTTTAAATACCATTTTATTTTCACTTTTCATTCTCAATTTGTACGCATCCTTTATGATGGCTTGTTGTTGCCTTTGTTGTCCACTGTTGTCATCACTCTTTGTTAAAACCAGATCTCTCTTGTAAATGAGTCCCCGAGGCTCAGTGGCATTAATCTGTATAAGTAAAGGTTGAATTAATGTGAAGAGGATGACTCTTGGCTACTATCTTACCAAATTTTTATCGAGATAAATGAGATAAATGAGATGGATGACATATAACCCCCCACACACACACATACGTATACACAGATTTTCTCGTCTAAGTAGTAAACATAATACAGGGTACTGTCAGACTATGATTAGCCTATTTTGGAATTACCGGTAAGGGAAAAGTAAAACTTCTGAAAGTATTGTTGTTAATAGCAAAGCAAAAAGCAGGTGTCAAAAATTGTAATTTGTAAAATTGTAAAAAAAAAAAAAAAAAAAAAAAAGTAATTTATTTCTCTTTAACTACCTGTCCATGAGCACACAGTGAAGGGCCCTGCAGACTCTATCTGAAGCTGCAAAATCAGCTCTTATTGATGTAGTTTTGTGACAAATATTGCGTCATTTTGTTCTCGAAGTAGCTTTGCTTGCCTGTTCTCAACACAAGACCATGGCTGAACGTTTTCTCACAGTATGCTTTCTCAGAGTATGTTTTCTCAGAGTATGTGTCAAGTATTGTGTGACTGGTCAGAAGTTTGTGGGCATGTTTGTCAATGTGGAAAAGGGCTCAAACATTCCTCTGTACGACTCTTGAAAAACACTAAATTAGTCAAATGGCCAAAAACTCCTGGATGGAGATCATGCAAACATTGTGCACAGAGGAGTCTGTCTGCTGAAAAGTGTGGCGCTTTCTTCATGATAGATTTATGGCCAAATGGCAGCTGTAAGGATGGAATGGAGATCCTGGCAGGAAGACACCGTAACACGATGAGAGCGGAACGGGTTTCCCAGAAGCTCTGCATCTGTGTTTTGTGGACTATGAAAGGTGTGTGCAAAAACAAACGTACCACAACCTTGTGACTGTGAGCCGACTGTGAGCCGACTGTTCAGCTTCGGATGGAGCATTCTGGGCCCTTAATGGACATTTAAAGCACTTCTGAGCACATGTATTGTATGACTGCAGCACTGCAGCAACCAGGTAGCATAGGGGACATGGTGGAACATGATGTTTTTATCCTGCTGAACCACTGACCGATTTCACCCCACCCCACCCCTGCCTCCTCTTCCCTCCCTGCTTGTCATTTCTTAGGCTATCCACTCCGTTGCTTGGCATCATGAGGGCAAACAGTTCATTTGCAGTCACTCAGATGGAACTCTGACCATATGGAACATCAGAGGCCAAGGCAAGCCAGTCCAGACAATCATACCGCATGGTAAGGAGGACAAAACATACATACACAAGTTTGTATTTCTATTCTTGTTAGGATGTTGTGTTGATTCCCATTCATTTCTGTACACTAGCCCATATGACTACCCTAACCCTGACCATTACCAGTACATCCCTCGCTCTAACCTAAACACAATTCATATCTTAGCCCTAAATATCCCACAGTATTAGGACTAGAATTTGGTCTTTACGGGTTCTGACAGGGTAGGTGGATATACCAGAAAAAATCCTTAAAAGGTCAAACCAAGCTCACACACACACATACTTTCCTTGATTGCAACTTAATCAGTTCAGTAAATTAATCAATAACAGTGTTTATTCTTATTAAAAATAAGAAAGATGTGGGTCTTGAGGACTCTGATTGTTTTCCTTTGTACCCTTCTAAACATTTTGTGGTTAAGATTTTGGATTAGCACATTCATTGACCCTTCATGGTCTGATTTTTTTCAGAACCCTTACATTACTCCTGTCTGCACTGAAAACCATCCATCATGAGTCTTTCTACATATGAGTCCTGTGTTGTTTCATTTAGAGGAATACTGTCAATTCACTTAGGCTCCCCCTCTGTTTGTTTTACCTTGTGCTTGCATGTGCATACTCGATTGCTGATGCTCTGTTTATCTCTTTTTGAAAGCAAGTTTGCCCTTCTGAAGATGTATTCCAGTAGCTACACACACACCATCATCATCTCACCTTGTACTTTGACGGTTCACAAATAAAGGACATAGAAAAACAGACAGGTTGTGTGGGAGCGCCGACAGGACAGGGAGAGCAAAAGAGCGAGGGTAAAAAGGAACAAGGGAAGTAATTAAAAGAAAATTGAAAGAAGGGGGAAAACTTCTAGTTTTCAAGCTGTTTTTGTATGCAGGGGATTGCAGAAAGGATTTTACCACACAGGCTTTTTAATTAGTTGTTTCCCTACTGCAGCATACATAATTACTTTAGTATTTAATGGGCAATTATGTAAATTCCTTTTACAGATTTAAATAAGGCTTTTTAAGTCCTCCTTTAATTGTCTTTTTGGATATCCATTATTAGAACATAGTTGTTTAAAGTCTTCTTTCATTGTATGGGTTTGCACAAACTGGATGTCTCATTTTGACTCTTCACTTATAGTTAATATATTTTCAACCTTCTACTGTGGTACAAAAATAAACAAATATGCAAATTTTTGTCACATACGTCGACAGCCCCCAAGGTTTGATGAAATAGATTTTTGTAAATGAACAACTATCCTCACACCTTCTTTGTGCATATTCCTGCCTCTGCCTCTCTCCTTTCTAACAAAAAGGTTTCTCATTGTCTGGCTACTGTTCAGCTCAGCATTTTAAGCGCTGCTTCTGGGGGGAATCTAGTTGACAGATGAAATAAAAAAAAAAAAGAGGAGACGGGATGAACTGAAGACGAAAAGCAACTTTTGTTTGTTTCGTTTTAGGAAAACAGCCCAAGGATGGAAAGAAGCCAGAGTCATGTAAACCCATTCTTAAAGTGGAATATAAAACGACTAGAAATGGGTAAAATCCCTATCTCCTCCCTACATACATGTTTCAGTGTATTTTGAAGCTTCTAACATTGCAACCATTTTGCTTTTGTGTATGCTCCTTCTAGGGACCCTTTCATAATTTTCTCTGGTGGTCTTTCTTATGACATGGTGGGTCGGCGGCCTTGTCTGACTGTTATGCATGGAAAAAGTACTGCTGTGCTGGAGATGGATTACCCTATAGTAGACTTTCTCACTCTATGTGAGACACCATATCCTAATGGTAAGAGGATGTTTGTCTTGCTTTACATTTGCACTTAGGTGTATTTTCCCTTTTGATACAATTATAATGCATATTTGACGGAAGAAGAGGTTCTGATCTGTGGGACTTTAACGCATGCATACACATCAACAGTGCTGTTGTAATTATGCTGGATTATTTCCCTCTGTTTTGGTACTTATTTGTGATAAAGTTCCCAACAGGACAAATTTACCTTTCATTATCTGACAAAGAATATCTTATTACATTCTCATTTCATACCTCTGTATATAATAGACTTCCATTTGATTAAATTATCTTATTTCCTTCATTGGTGAATTAACAGCTAAAACAAGTGAAACTGGAGCTGAACGGCGAGGGGTCCAGAATGCATGTAATCCTGTCTGTAATCTGCTGCTGTGTAATGTGGCATGTGTACAGTTTTAGGAAGGATTAGTGCATTATGTAACAGTGAGGACTTCATTAAGTCACTGGCTTTCATCTGGTTGCGGACATAACTGGGTTTGGATTATTACACAATACGTCTGGCTGATGGGACCTTGTTGAAAATGCTTAAATTGTCATTACTCTGTTGCAGTTTCTTCTTCAATATTGATTGGAATTTTTTTTTTTTTTTTAAAGGACCAAAACCAATGAAACTATTAAAAAATATTTTGCAAATTGAGCTTTATTTCTGTATGTTTTACAAGTATAAGATAAAATATTGATAAATGCCTGTACAAGTCAGTACGGTTGAATTTCTTACACAGCACTCGTCTTTAATTTAAATGTAAACATTTCTTCCTTAAATCAGATTGATCAAAAAAACATGCACCCACAAATATAAATTTGATAAATTATTAAATAATAAGCTTTCCCACTGTATTAATTTACAAAGCTTTGAAATTAATTTATTGTGTAAAGAACTGGAATATTCCTCACTAAGGTTTGTTGAGGTTTTGCCATATTTTTCTGGATAATTTAAAAAAAATCACCTTTTTTTGCTGCATTTGCACCTCTCAGCCACATGGTTTTGGGGGAGCCCCCCCCCCCCCCCCAGATATTTTTTAAATAAATGTAATACTATGTGGATTTAAAAAAAATGTTGTTCATGGTATTTTCGAGATACAATGGTTTCAGAAACTGACATAGCTGCCTCTTTAAAATACTTCTTTAAAAAGTGGTCAGTTAATCCAAAATGCTGTTGGCAGAGTCAACTGGAGTTAATGGGAGAGATCATATCTCTCCAGTTTTAGCTTCTCTCCATTGGCTCTCTGTCAAATCCAGAACTGAATTCAAAATCTTACTTCTAACCTACAAAGCTCTCAACAACCTAGCTCCATCTTATATTTGAGATCTTATTGTTCCATATTTTCCTAACAGAGCACTTAGCTCTCAGACTGCAGGCTTACTCGTGGTTCCTAGAGTTTCCTAAAGCAGAATGGGAGGAAGATCTTTCGGTTATCAGGCTCCTCTCTTGTGGAACCAACTTCCAGTTTCTGTCCATAAAGCAGACACTTTGTCCAGTTTTAAGACTGGGCTGAAGACTTTCCTTTTTGATAAATCCTATAGTTAGGGTTGGCTTGTTATGCTGTCTTAAGCTTAGACTACTGGAGGACAAATTGACCTCATTTTCTTAAATGATTTGCTAAAATTGAATAGTTTCCATTTTTTTTATGAGATTCTTGGCCTGCCATTGTGTATCTTTTCCTCTCAAACCCAGCCAGTTGAAGCAGATGGCCATTTGTCCTGAGTCTGGTTCTGCTAAAGGTTTCTTCCTCATGAGGAAGTTTTTCCTTTCCACTGTCGCCTTCATTCTTGCTCAAGAAGAGAGTTCTACGATGGAGTTAAATTCAAAGCAGTCTGCTCCTCACATGAATAGTGTTAACTTATTATTTTTATGAATGTTTTTGTTCCGTACCCTGAGATGATTTCTGTTGTGACTTGGTGCTATATAAATTAACTAAAGTTGAATTGAACTGAAAATACGCCCACTTGGTACTGGCAATCTACACAACACTGGAGCTATTTTTACCTAGTTTTTATTTATTTATTCTCTGCATCTGTTTTGCTGCATCCTGATTCTGTTTATATTAAATTTAGATCATATTTTTTCATTCAACCTTTGTTTATACAGGTTAGTCTCATTGAGCCGCAATGACTCATTTACAAGAGAGACCTGTATTTTGAAATGGTTATTAATTAAGAAGAGAATGTAAACAGGAATAAAGTGAAAGAAATGTGCTACAGTCATTCTTTAGCCAAACTCTCTCTTTTTTACATATGTGTATAATCTCCCCAACTTGTGACATGACATGTTATGACGTGTTTGTTTCAATTTGTGATGTGATTTTTAAAAAAAATCTAATTTTATTAAATTTCTCTTAAAAAAAAACTATCTTCATAGTGCAGATGTGGCCTTAATTACACATCAGGAATCAGCTTTCTTGTTGTGTTGCCTTTCGCAGATTTTCAGGAGCCCTACGCTGTCGTGGTCCTTCTAGAAAAAGATTTAGTGGTAATCGACCTTGCACAAAATGGGTAAGTCATAGTCTTTTCTTTAGATTTAAATGGCTAAACTTCAGTTCGTCATTTTTGTTGACAGATATTTTCATTATTCAAAACCAGAATTCCTTGAAGGAATGCACAGTACCTGTCAACTTGCATGCTAACGATTTGAACAAAGATCAAGAATGATCTGTTTGTGCTCACTGTATGTGTTGAGAATGACTCTCAGCTATCACCACACCCATTTTATTCCTCAATTTCAAAATAACCGACTGAATTATATTCATGTTTTTGTTTGCTAAAAATGATTAGCTGTGACAACTGCCCTGAACTGGGCTGACACCTAAAGTTAATCAGTTGTAGACGTACATCCAAGGGTTCGTGAGATGTTTTGCTAGCAGAGAGACAAACAAACAAATGCACACCGGCACAGGCAATTACAAGATCACCTGATGCCATGAAAGGCAGACGATAATTATAGTTGGCAGTTTTTAGAATTTGTCTCTCAATATCAAGAAAGGATGTAGTGATCATTCAGAATAATTTCATTAAGATATTGTAACTTGTGTTATGAGCGTCTGTGCCCTTCTATTAACAGTTACCCCATTTTCGAGAACCCATATCCGCTGACTATTCATGAGTCTCCTGTTACCTGCTGTGAGTACTTCGCCGACTGCCCTGTGGACCTCATACCTGCACTTTACTCTGTTGGCTCACGGCAGAAACGACAGGGCTACAGCAAAAAGGTATTGTGAAAAAAATCTTTAGTTTTATCCATCCATCCATTCATAGTTCCATTATCTTTACCCGCTTCTGCATTTTCGGATCATGGGAGTCACTGGTGCCCATATCCAGCCATCACTGTGCAAGAGGCAGGGGTCACCCTGGACAGGTCTCCAGTCCATCACAGGGACACATAGAGACAAACGAGACAAACTAACATTCACTCTCTCACTCACATCTAGGGACAATTTAGAGTTACCAATCAGCCTAACATGCATGTTTTTGGTGTGTGGGAGGAAACTGCAGTACCCAGAGAAAACCTACGCATGCACGGAGAGAACATGCAAACTCCACACAGAAGGAACCCCGTCTGGGATTCGATCCAGCGACCTTCTCGTTGAGAGACAACAGCTCTAACAACTGTGCCACCATGGCGCCCGCTTTAGTTTAACACATTGTTTTCATTCAACCCTTATTTATACAGGCTAATCCCATTGAGCCTCGGGGGCTCATTTACAAGAGAGACCTGAGAAAGTTAAGTTGTTAAAAGTTGTTAAAAGTTAAAAGTTGTTAAAAGATTTGTTTCTAGTTTCACCTGTGAGGTAGGAAAACAATAAATGGAAAATTAAGAAATAGAAATTCACTGTTTTCAAAGAAACAGTGGATTGAAAAAACAAACATTGACATGTTTTTTTTTTCAGTGAAAGTTTGCAATGACTGATATTCTTTTTTTTATAAATTTTATAGGATGTTATGTATATGTGTAAATATATATATATATTTTTTTGAGTGATTCAAGAAAGTTTATTATGAAGTGATTTTTTCTATTTATTCACATGTTACAAGTTCATTTATTGAGACTTAAGACTTTTACATGCTTAACATAAACAACCAACACAAAAATGGTGAAAAGCCATTTATGTAACTCTGTCTTCAAAACTTGACTTTGCAAGCATTTAACATTTCAGCAAAAAATTATTCATTGGATGGTACTATGGGCAGTTTATGTTGGGTGGCTTGTAAAATCTAATTACCAGTAATTGCTGTTTTTGGTCAATATGATAATGTTTCACTAGTAAAGTTATTTTTTCCACACTCGTCTTTGTTACAAACTTTGCAGCAATTACAATTTTACCTCTGTTACTTTTTTCTCGTCTTTATTTACACAATCAAAACACAGTTTGAATTAATGTTTTTGCGAGCAATGGCATTCCAAAATGTACTTTGCAGCTAGTTGTTTTTCATTAACTTCATTTGACCTTTATTTATACAGGTTAGTCTCATTGAGCCTCAAGGTCTCATTTACAAGAGACACCTGTTTTAGACAAACAACACAGATGAGGTACAGACAACAACTGTGACTAGAATGCGTGAGAGTAGTGGAGCATGCTCTATTCACACAAGGGGAGCTGTTGGTCAGGCTACTTCTTTTTGTGCCATTAACTCTAAAATAGTTATAGAATCAAGTGTTTACTTATGTAGGCAAAACTAGATGTTTAACAACCCGTTAAAATACACCAGAATGTAGGAAATGGGAGGACCCCCTGACCTCCCCACCAGTGTGTGTCCCCCAGCCCCCACCCATTACAAATGCTTCTGATGCCAATGGCCACCGTGTTGCTAATGAAGTACACTTATGGTGTCATATGGTGTTCAAAGTGTGCTTAACTTAACTCAGTCTTAGTGGTTTTTGTTAATCGTGTAGCAGTGACCTGGGATGGTATCAAATTCTCGACCTGGATTATTGTCCCAGTCTGCCCCTGCCTGAGGGTCACCCCGACCCTTTGAGGAAACTATACTTTTAAGCACTATAAAAACTAGCAAGCACAGTTCTCTGAAATGATAGGGGTGGTCGGTTTGCACATATATTTGGTAGTGACATGGCAACGAAAGTAACTTTGGGTTGCTACTTGTACCTTAAAAACAACTCTTAAGAGGATAAACAACTACTTACAACTGTAAGAAATGACATTTTTTATTGTCTTTCCTAAATTTTGTTTGAGTTTGCACCTTCCAAAAAAATTGTAAGACGTACAGTTTGTTTTATGACAAGCAAAAGTAAGTTTTTGACTAAATTCTGTTACAAATTTTACATTACTTCTTCCTTTTAAAAATATAAAATATATTTGGTTAAATGTTTATACATGGATTGCATACACTTGCCTTAAGTCCATGTTTTACTTTGACAATACTCAGCACTGCTAAACCTGTCCTAGCAATACAAAATGCAGTGATTTTTATGAAGCTAATGAACTATGTATAAGAATGTTTTGTTACCCAGTGATCCTCATCCCCTCTTCACACTTCCTCTCTCCTTTCATTCTCTTCTTCTTTCCCTGTATCGTCCCAGACAGACCCCCTGCTCTTTAAGCCATTATGTATGCTTCTGTTCGTTTCCTTGTCGCCTTGTTCTGCTTTCTGTTGGAAATGTCAGCATGCACTGACCTAAGCTGGCAGCCAAGCCGCTTCCTTTTTTCCTTTTCTTACTGAGCAAAAGTCTCGCTGAGCTGCAAGGGGGGCCGTTCTCATATGAAGATCACTGTGAGCCATCCTGCTGACCTTTGTATGTGTCAATGTCTTCAGAGCCAGCCCCCCACTAACACACATGCACGCACGCATGCACACACTGAGGTGCATAATGTATTATACCAAGACACACTAGGACAAAACCTGAAGAATTCCTTTTTTTGTGTGCACATTCAGAAAACACAGCATAACTGTGGCATCTCTTTTGATGTGAGGTTATGTGAAGAAGTTATGAATTAATATTTTATCTGTTGTAGATAACTTTTTGAATGAGCTCAGTTTGAAGATTTTGTGGAGCCAAGACCAAAATGTTTCACTTTTATTTTATAGTGGCTATCCTAAACACCATTTTTAAACCTTTACATCACTGCCAGTTATGCATTCTATGCTTGAATAAAGACATTTTTATATTTGTTGTGTACTTGCAAGCACAAGAAGTGGCGTCAGCTAGTGACGGGAGCGCCAGGAGCACTTCCAGCTGGAATATCAATATATTTCTGCTAGAGTAACTGTGTAATGTAAAACTAACAGTGGTGTTGAGGTATATTTAATCACAGTTACATGAACCACTATGACATTTTTGAAACCAGAGTTGCTTTAAGATGGCAGTAAAATCCACTTTGGACCTGGGCTGTCTCCGACCAGCAGTTAGCTCATGAGTCCAGTCAGATTTAATCACTATGACCCCACTGACACCTGGCATCATGAAGATGCCATGCCATCAGATTGCATTAAATAAATAAATAAATAGTGTGAACGGCATGAACATGCATTAAAACATCCATCCATTATCTTTACCCGCTTATTCCATTTTTGGGTCACGGGGGTCGCTGGTGCCCATGTCCAGCAATCACTGTGCGAGGGGCGGGGTACACCCTGGACGGGTCGCAAGGCCATCACAGGGCCACATAGAGACAAACGAGACAAACAACCATTCACTCTCTCACTCACACCTAGGGACAATTTTAGAGTTACCAGTCAGCCTAACATGCATGTTTTTGGTCTGTGGGAGGAAACCGGAGCACCCGGAGAAAACCCACGCATGCACGGAGAGAACATGCAAACTCCACCCAGAGGGGCCCCTGGACCGGGGTCTGAACCAAGGACCTGCTCGCTGAGAGGCGGCAGCTCTACCAGTTGCGCCACCGTGCTGCTGCATTTAAACATTTTCACTTAAACCATGTTAGAAATGGTCTGGATCTTTACAATTATTATTATTATTTATCTGCAAGTGTTTGTTAGTTTGAGCACAATCTGTTCAGATCCCCACTGTAGGGCCTCATACTGAGCTGATGTGACTCCACACAAGCAGCAGAGTTACTCCCTGGACATCTCAGTGCTTCTAATTTTAAATAAATAATAATAATTTTCAGTTCAATTCAATTCTGTTTATTTATATAGCACCAAGTCACAACAGAAGTCGTCTCAGGGCACTGAACAGAAACATTCATATATATAT